TTCTGAGTGGGAGGAGGAAGAGAAGAGTATAAAAACTCATGGTCAGAGATAACAAGAGCTTAATAGATAAATCAAAAGTTGTGCGTGCAAGCAAAGCAAAATAAGTTCATTTATTTGTTACTCCCCATCTGCAGAAAGATGTTTAGTCTTTCCCAGGAAAACTGTGCTTCATTATGTGTAACAGTTAACTGGGAAGGTAATTCCAAATGTCCCTCTTCTTCCTTTGCCTTTTCCCCCAGCTCTTACTGCTACGCAGGACATCATACAGCATGAAACAATTAGTTTTGTCCAAATCTAAAAATGTATCTCTCTATCTCTGGGAAACCTGCTTTTCCCACTTTTCAGAGAATCACAGAATGGTTGAGGTCAGCTTATTCAACCCTCTACTCAAACAGTGCTTATTCCCCAGGACCACGACCAAAAGGCTACTGAATACTTCCAGGGACTGAGACTCCATAACCTCTCTGGGCAACCAGTGCCAGTTCCCAGTAAACTGCAGTGTCTACCTGATGTTCAGAGGGAATCTCCCGCATTTCAGCATGTATCCATGGTTTCTTGTCATGTCCCAGTGAGTGAAAAAAAGCCCACCTCCATCCCATATTTATACACTTCCTTCAAATATTTGTACACATTGATGTGATCGCCCCTGAACCTTCTCGCTTTTCCCCTTACAATAAAAGCTTCAGACACTCCTTCAGCCTCATAGTCTTCTGCTGGACTCTATTCACTATCTCTAGAACTATCATACATTGGAGAGCCCAGAACTGGACACAGTACTCCAGGTGTGGCCACACCAGTGCTGGTTATATGAGAAGGATTATATTCTTTAATGTGCTGGCAACATTCCTAATCTAACCTAGGATACTGTTAGCTTTCTTTGTGGCAAGGGCACACTGCTGGCTCACTGTCAAGATGATGTCCATCAGAACCCCCTATTCTATTCTGCCATGTTTTCCAGCTGGGCAGCCCCCAGCATATACTGGTACCCGTGGTGGTTCCTCCCCCAGCTGCAGGGCTTCACACTTCTCCTTACTGAACTTCACAAAATTCCTGTCAGCCCATTTCTCCAGCCAGTTGAGGTTCCTTTGAATAGCAGCATGACCATCTGGTATATCCTTCCTCCTAGTTTTGCTAAGGGTATACTCTATCCATCAACCAGATCATTAACAAAGATGTTAAACAGTATTAGACCAGTACTGAATCCCGCAGTGCACGACTGGTTACTGGCCTCCAACTAGACCTCATAACCATTCTGAAGGCATACTCCAATGTAAGGCAGAGGAGAATCTTATGCAGCAGGGACATATGTTACGCTGTCTCCCTAAAAAAGTGCCTATAGTAGGCTTGACAAAATCAGTAGTGATTTAAGAGTGGGAAAAAAAAAAAATACTGCAAAGGATTTCACTTACACAGATTCAGTAACAAGCACATCTGAACCAGACTGACCTGAGATGCATGAAGATCACTTTGCAGCTGATTTATTCTAAAGTCCGGAGGGATTACATAGCGTAGTAACCAAAACCTACAAAACCAGGGCAATCTGCACTCATAACAAGCTTATTTGCCTTTCAGGTCAACAAGAGGAGAAAGACACTACTAGACATTTCCTGAAGATGCTGACATTTGTATCTGCAGCTTTACATCACTAAATCACCATCACCTGTCTTCCTGAATGTAGTCTAAGCTTCACATGCATCAGAACAGTTAAGTAACTGATAACTCAGAAATGTGACATGGAATTTTATTTCCCATTTGCATGTCCTAGGCTAGAATATATTCAAGCCCTGAATACTCTCCCAAAATTATTTGTGTCTGTATTGCTCTATATTTCATAGCCATAAAGAATTACAGATTTCAAATTCTAAAGCTTAGTTAGATGTCTTACTTCCAAATAAGCCTGAAGCTTAGACTTCAGATTAATTGCTTTGTTTTCAATATTCCGTAATTTATCTCACTGATATATATTCCCTTCTGTTTCAAGGAAAAAAAAAAAAGAGGGTGGGATGTGGGGTAAATGCTGTGAGCAATAAAGCACAGAACTACATTTAAAAATGAAGAGACCAACACAGTGAAAAAATATATATATTTTTGGGGGGGCTGTGATCTTCCATGTGCTGCAAAATGAATTGTGTCTAGGCATGACTGTAATGCAACAAGAACATAGTTCATTTCTAGAATTTTTAAAAGGAGTTACATTATCAGGGGACAAGATTTATATTTCTTTCTCAAAATCTCCTTATTCTGAATATAAGGGGTAGATAAAGGAAGGGGAAGAATACAAGAAACACTAAGACATAAAACAGCTAATTGGCAGTCTAGAGACACCAGATTAGAGCTGCAATGTGATCATACATTTAACAGATCTAACGCCTAATTACAATTGCAAATAAAAGCTCTATTTCTTAGGATGGCATCACTCATAATGGGGCTTATCTAATGTCACAACAATGTCACTTATCCATCATATTTGAAAAGCTGTGGTAGTCCAGTGACTAGAAAAAGAGAAAGATAACCCCTATTTTTAAAAGGGAAAAAAAGAATACTTGAGGAACTACAGGCCAGCCAGTCTCACCTTTGTATCCAGCAAGATCACGGTGCAGGTGACCCATAAGGCACAGGGAAAACAGAGAGGTGATTGGTGGCAGCCAGTAAAGCATCACCAAAGGCAAATCATGATTGACAAACTCAGTAGCCTTTACATCAGGATTACAGCATTAGCGGAAAAGAGCAAAGGATGAGGCCCACCTCGACTGCAAAGCATGCAATGCTTTGCACCACACAACATCCTTCTCTCTAAAATGGACACGTGTGGATTCGATGGACAGGTTGCCTGGTGGGTAAGGAATTGACTGGATGGCCAAATTCAAGGTGTTGTGGTCAAAGGCTCAATGTCCAGGTTGGGATCAGTGATGAGCAGCGTTCCTTGGAGGTCTGTACTGACTGGTATTGTTTAACATCTCCATCGGTGACACAGACAGTGGGACTGAGTGCACCCTGAACAACATCAAGCTGAGTGGTGCAACTGACATGCCAAAGGATATGCCATTGTGAGGGATCTCAACAGACTAGGGAGGTAGGTCTATATGAACAACATGCTGTTCAACAAGACCAAGTGCAAAGCCCTGTGCCTGGGTCAGTGCAGTCCCAAACACAAATACAAGCTGGGCAGTGAGGAAGAACTGTAGGTTTTTTAGATGAAGACCAGAATTGTTTTCCAGAGAACCCATGGATACCTCATCCCTGGAAGTGTTCAAGGCCAAGCTGGATGCAGCTTTTTGGCAGCCTGATCTAGTGGAATGTAATCACTGCTCATAGCAAGACAGATGGAATTAGATGACCTTTAAGGTCCCTTCCAACACAGACCATTCTATGATTCTATGAATTATATCATTTTACTAAAGAAACTTTTCTCTACAGGAGGTCAGATGGGAACCACTAAAGGTATTCACACCAGAACTGTATGCTTGATAGTCAGCAGAGGGCTCAGCTATACTAAGACAATCCTGTGCCGAGTTAACAAGAAATAGAATGTCAGGAAAGTCATCATAAGCACCTGACTCAAAGGGCTTTGAAGCCCAGTAAGACAAGACAAAGATTTAAAAATCCAAAAAATTAACTTCATGATTACTGTTAGAACCACTCATATGAAGTAGTTTGTGCTCATATAATCTGATAGACTTGATATTTTGTCTTTTTTTTTTAAATAATCCTGAAGTTCCATGTGGTAACCAATACACATTTAGAATTTAAATAACCAAAAGGGAAGATATGAAAACGTATGGAGGTGAAAAAAAATTATGGCTTCTGTTTGTGTTACAACAAAGCAAGATTTGCTGGCTGTTTGCTTTGCTACCGATGCTGGTATTATGGAAGTGTGTGTGTATTGACGGAGTGGGGGAAGCTGACAGGCTAAAAGGAAAGTAGCATAGACCTGAGGTTTAGAAGAAACAGTCATAAAAGAAGAAAACTGTGTGGCTTCATCAGCTGTTTAGAGAGCCAAAAACTGTTCTCAAGATGCACATTGGGCATTCTGAGAAGAATCTTTAGATATTTAAAGAAGCAGTATTTCCAAACTTTTATTGGAAAATACAAACTATTTAAGCTAATCAAACATTCTCTCTATTATTTTGAAGTGATAAAATCTACCTTGGCAAATTCAGGTTTGTTCAAGATATTCTTTTTCCTCTATGTCACGTTTTAGACAAATAACACAAGGAGTGTTAGATAAGTATGTAAATAGCGTCAGACATATCTGACACTTCAGATATCAAACAAAGTTTTCTCACCAACGTGAAACTACATATACTTCATCTCAGCATGCTTTTTGTTTTTCATCTGGGAGATTTTTGGCTTGCTCTCTCTCTCCTACTCTAGTTTCAGAGGAAAACACATGAAAATTACAACTTTTAAATCAAACCAGAGGAAATGATCGGCAATTTGTGGCCTCTTAATACATCACTGACACATAAGGAAAATGTATTTATGATCAGGCTTTGTCTACACCTGGCTCATTATACTATTGTCTTATTATAACATTCTCACCCTATATTATATCTAAATTGCCTTTGTTTAAAATAAATAAATTCTATTACTTGCTACAGTTTATCTTCATAAAGTGACCGAGCTTCGTTATAGGATACTAGTGCATTTTAACAGCACAGAATACTCTCACCTATTTTCTACCACTGTGGCACTTCTTTATTTTCTTAAAGTATTGGGAATAGGAACAAAAAAACTCCTAGTTCAGAATGCTTCCTTTGTAACTAACACATTTTTAACCTGCTGATATAATTATTAAGTATTTGCCAAGAAACTGAATACTTTGATAAACGTGCAAAAACAATAAAATGCTCTTCAAAAACACCTTGGGCAAACAGGAAAATAATCCAAGTAAATGCAAAAGTTCCTGGAAAGGGCAGGGGTGGGAGGAGTACAGCATACCGCAAAAGCTACTTTCTACATAGGAACAGTCACATGCAGGTGGAAAGAAGAAGCATCACCTTGGTCAGCAAGTGAGAAGGCTTTCCTGCAATGTTTCTCAGAAGGAGGGAGGTTTCCCTGTCCAAATAGGAGTGCTTGTTCAGAAAGAAAGAGAAAGAACATAGGTCAAAAGTAGTCAGTAATTTTATAGCGTATTGACTACAGAAGATAAGCAGAGTTTAAGGGGAAAAAAAACCAACACAACGCACCTACATCTTCTGCTCATTTCCCTCCCATAAAAATGTGAGCATTCCCAAATAATACAAACCTAACAATAATATAAAAGCAGTCATGCTAAGAGGACACAAGTTTAATTAACCTTCTCTGAACAAAAGGTCACAGAACAGAATTAAGAAGAGCTTTGCTTACCTGCTACTGGTTTCTTTTCTGCAAGAAACAACTTATTTTTAAATAACAGTTAGAACAAAACCATCAACTTTTCAAAAATCCTGTACAGTCCTGTAAAACTGAACATTCTGCTTCTGCTGTACAAAGTTACTAAAAGCTGGTCACATGGAGGCAAGGAACTGGTTTCATGCCTTCTACACTGACTACTACTTTTATATTTATGGAAAAAAAGATGTCACCATAAATAATCTAAACTTTACTTACAACTAAGCTTTTTTTCCCCACTTTTTTTTTTTTTTGTAAAAAATTATGTGAGTTTCTCAGAAAATACACTTTAACCTGTACAAAAAGAAAACAAAACAAGCAGCAACCTGTAAGGAAGGTTTCTAAAAACATAAAAATTGAAGAATAATAGAGTTAGAAGGATCATCACCTGCAGCATCTATTACAGAAAAACAACAAAATCATCAGCTCAGTCTACAGAATTTCAGTCACGAGTCTGCTGAGGAAATCAAATTGATACTGCGGTATTAAACAAGAATACTGAATGTATCTCATGTACCGTCACTATACTGCAAATTTCATCCCTGGTGGCTGCATGTCTCAGCTGGTACTACCACGTTGATTGATTTTACCATGTACAGAGAGACAAGTTCAAGCAATTCTTTCAAAGAGTTTCTGGATAGACTTCTAATCACAGATTACAATCTCTGACAAGTTGCATCACTTTTTCTTAGTGAATTGTGCAGTAGGGTAAAAACAAACATTACAGTGCACATTTACAACCTCTTTCCTAGGGTTTACTATAAGGAATCTCTATTTAAAGCAAATACTATTTCCTGGAAAATACTTATCCAATAGAGAAGTTTAAGGGAGATAATCTAACCTTTGTCCTATTACCGTTCCTTTTGGCTGTTCTCATCTCATACTGAAATATAGTACTATATTTATCCAGTACCTAGTTTTTATTCTATTCTAACACTGCTTGCCAGACTTGCAACAAAATATGAAAACAGATAACCACAGTAAAATTATTTGGATGTTAAGAATAATTGTACTTAATAAGAATAAGCATTGCCAATAAGATGCATAGTCTGAGCTGGAGAGAAACATCTAGAAAGACTTATGCACATGCATCTTTTGACAATGGTTCCTTACTACTATGTAACACATTTCTTCAGTACTCCAGATAACCAAAAGTTAGAACGATTAGATGGAGTAAAGCAACAGCTGAGTTCTGAGATATTACATAGCTTGGCTAAACAACAATGCGCATATCACTTCAACTGTTTGATCTACATAAACCCAGAGAAAAAGAAAAAAAAAATCAGCTAATACAGTAACTGAACAGGGGTTATAAACAAAATTTCCTTTAAAAAAAAAAAAAAGGATGTTTCACTTTGGAACAATGTGCTATTCCTTTCCAACTGCAATTGTAAAATATTTTGTCTATTTTAGAGGATGGACCAGATCAAACACCAAGCTTTGAGGGGAACTGACGCTGCCTTTTAATACAGGCTTCCCAGGAATACTCCACTGCTCAGAGGTAGAAAAATATTCTGTTTTATCACCTTAAGATACTATGACTGCACTGAGCCACAGTGAGGATCTAAACGGCTCATCCCTCCTCCCTATTTCTAGAGTTCAAATTTAAATCAAAGTTCTGACAACATAAATGCCTAATTTCTATAACTAATCTACTTTTCTGTCCAAAGTACTTTCCCAAATAACACCAATAAAATTTAGGAAAACAAAACCAAAAAACTTGAATTACTACTTGAGAGACATTCTTGGTCATCCACTGTGAAACCCATCTGCTGTCCTTCCACCTGCTCCCATCACAATATTGGGATCTCATGCCCTGGCACAAAGCTGTCTCTCTCCCAGCACAATTTAATAGTAACTCATATCTAGTTAAACCAGCTGGTGGCACTCTTGTGCCACTAATTTGAATTTAATTAATGACAGTTAAGAAACACAATAGACTTTTTAAAAAAGCCTACCTCTGTCGCCAGGAACCAAGCTTAAATAAGGAAAATGCAGAATGCAGTGAGCATTGTCTGATAAAAAGCTCTATGCTTACAAAGCTTTCTTAAAAAGGTAACTACTACAGTTTTGGACTACAACAGTATATTGAATTCTTTAGACAATCAACAGAAACAACTAGAATACACTATTTTCAAAAGGGAACTCAAGAATTGTGTGTATATATATATATTTAATATATATACATACACACACACACTTTTCTAAAACTTTGTCCCAAAAACGAGTACAAAGAGGGGAAGGGAAAACCAAAATTTTTTGCAAATTCTTGGAGATTGTATTTTCATGTGGAACATATAAGAACACACATTACAAAGTGATTAACATATAATTTCATTTTCTACCTTCCTTTGCAATGGACTGCCAGGAACAATTATGCTTCTAAAGAAAAGAAAAAAACTTCTAAGTGTATTTCAAGTCGTCTCTCCTAATTAATAACCAGAAAACAGGTAAGGATCAACTTCAGATTGAGAAAGTCCAACTTTAACAATGTACTTAGTGTGCTATCATGATACCAGTGGATTCAATTGAAGTTATTAATTGATTTTTTTATATATATTACAGGCAAATTGATACAACAGAAACTATACAGAGATGTGACAGTAACTTACAGGAGTCACTTCAGCTTCCTCTTCTGAAGAGTTAATGGGATGCTTGGACTGATTAATGGAATGTCCCATAGAGACAGAGTAAAAAAAGCAGGAAAACAAGGAGGAAAAAATGCAAAAGGAAAAGAGGGGAAAAGAAAGGGGAAGAAAAGAAAGCCTTTATTCTCAGTCAGGAGAGGGAATAAAAAAGCGATGACAATTAATAAAAGGAAACCAAACTACATTTAAAAATTGCACTGTCCCTTATCCCAATTTCTTACAAATGATCAATGACTTAAAGACGAGATTCAAGTTCTCTCATCCTATTGTAAGAGAAAAGAGATTGGAGGTAAGTATGCTCTTGAACGATAGTACGAGTGGAAACCATCATTAACTTCAGATAAAACACTGCAGTAAAACAAACCCAGGTAGTCCTTGTCCAAGGAGAATGCTAAATAACAGTTGTGAGTTAAATTCTCTAAATAAAACAACACAAAAAAACAGCCTGTCACTTCATATAACTTCATATACTTTCTGCATCAATTTCTTCATACTAGGAAGTAACATAAATACGCTTTAGTGACAATTAATAACATAACAAGAAAAAAGCGGATACAGATTTACCTCTTCTTCAGCTGGACATACTACTCTAGACCCAAGCATCCTCATACCGTTATTTACTTTAAAAAGAAAGCATTTTTCTATTTCCCTAATTTTTTTTTGTCTAAGAGTAGGAGGTTGCAGGGGAGAATATTTGTGTCTTAGAACAAAAATGTTTGATTTTGATAATGATACATGAAGTTACTAAAGGATTGAAAATTGAACATTACACTCCTAAAAGTCACAGCGTCTAAAGATTTCCAGTGTGGTATCCAATGCTTACCCCTTTCCGTCAAAGGTACAGATATTTATTTCAGGCACGTTAATTTTGCTAACTTAATTACAGAGTTAGGGTTTGATAGATGAAGAAATGAAAAGGGAATTACATTTTATTCTTATCAAAATGCCAGAAGAAGAATACAGATGCTTAGAATCATAGAATCATTAAGGCTGGAAAAGATCACTAAGATCATCTGGTCTTACCATCACCTAGAAACTAATGCTGCACCATTAGAGAGCAGAATTGTCTGACATTTCCATACATAAAATGTATTTTCAGCCGTTTATTGCCAAGCTATATCCAAGACAGTAAACCATCATGGAAAATTTTTATTAGAGGATGGTTACTATTCATTCCTTCAAAACAGAATTATTTTTAAGGCTTTAATATCTCTGTATATCTGACCATGAAATGGATTGTTGTCAACGACATCCTCAAAAACTGTGATTCTGCTGGTCCATGGGAACTTAACTAAATTTTTCTAAGCAGGAGCCTTCAGAATTAAAATTGTAATCTACAAAGCCTCAGCAAAGCCTATTCCATCACAATTAAAAACCTCAAGGCTGCATTCTTTTATACGGCGCTGCCCAGTCTTTCAATTGGGCTGCAAACAACTATCCATGAACAAAAGATTGGCCAAGTTCGGGAATGCTTGGGCCATGATTGGGAGAGTAACAAAAACTGCAGTGTCTTCTTACAACTGCAATGCCTGGCTGCTGCAGAGCATATCGGAACCAGACACTGGAAGTGACAATCCAGAGCTATTACTCTGCACTCCCAAGTAGCCAACCCTCCTGGAACTTGTGCAACTCCATCTCACAACAGGCAACTGGAATTTCCTAACTCCAAATGTTCAGTTTAGCAGTTGTTTTTTGTTGTTGTTGTTTTGTTTTTGTTG